GATTTATAATAGGAATAAGTTTTTAATGCCTTGTCTTCAATCATGTAGGTACATCTGGGATGAAGGGAAGGAAAAGGTGGTCTTCAGAAGCATCTGAGAAGTTTATATTGTTATTTACAGAACACTTTAAACAATTAGGAGGCAACGCAGTGCAGAGATAAAACAGGCATAAGATAATTAGCATTATGAAAACATTAGTAAGAGTCTCCGTTTCATGAAATAAACATTAAATATAATAGATATTTTGAAACCTAAGAGATATCTAAAATAGTTTCTAAAATATGATTACCAAAAACATGACATTACAAAATGGAAGAAAGAAAAGAAAAACATGAAATCTCCCCAAAGAGCGAATTTCAAGCGCGACATTTCCCTTCTCTCCAACATGTTTACATGATAACGGTGGTGATAGAATAGTGAGTACGACAGTTTTTACTGAATATTATTGTCGCGCCATCTGGCAGCGGAGAGTGTCTTCTTCGGTACGGACACAGTGGATTAGGATTAAACTAAATACGGTATTAAGAGTTAAGGACGCTACAGAAGACGCCCAAAAAGTCCTCATACTTTTCTGTCTACTTATTTTTCACTACCCCCAAATCATGAAATTTTATTTGAGGATCACTAGTTGTATTACAGATTATAATACATTTAGCAAAGATAACTCAACCCAATAACAGTAATAATAATAATAATAAAAAAAAAAAATAAATAAATAATAATAATAATAAAAAAATAAAAATAATAATAATTGGGTACCATGTTATAATGAGGTGTCACCCTGCATCTGGTTATATCAACCTTGTAGGAATAGGACATCAACAATTGCCTACAGTCTAATACTTGCATATCATTAACCACTAGCCGACGGGTGGCATATACGTACATGCTATGGCTGTTGTTGACCAAAAAACAGATGGCATCGTATCATGCCCATTCCCGTGCCATTTGTTTTTCTCCAATAGTAGCAGCTTCATCGATTTGGTAAATATTTTAGGCAATAGCACCTATAATGAAGTTAAGCCTTCAAAATTATAATATTTTTATTAATTATAGAAAAATATGAGCTTTTAGGTGCCAAATGTTGCTTGCAAACTACTGAACGCACTCCCATTCACTTTTTCATACAAATACACTCATAATGTGCAATTGAGTAAGTGAAAAGAGAGAGAGAGAGAGAGAGAGAGAGAGAGAGAGAGAGAGAGAGAGAGAGAGAGAGAGAGAGAGAGAGAGAGAGAGAGAGAGAGAGAGAGGAGAGAAGAGAGAGAGAGAGAGAGAGAGAGAGAGAGAGAGAGAGAAGAGAGAGAGAGAGAGAGAGAGAGAGAGGAGAGAGAGAGAGGAGAGAGGAGAGAGAGAGAGAGAGAGAGAGAGAAAGAGAGAGAGAAAGAGAGAGAGAAAGAGAGAGAGAAGAGAGAGAGAAAGAGAGAGAGAGAGAGAAGAGAGAGAGAGAGAGAGAGAGAGAGAGAGAGAGAGGAGAGAGAGAGAGAGAGAGAGAGAGAGAGAGAGAGAGAGAGAGAGAGAGAGAGAGAGAGAGAGAGAGAGAGAAGCCATCCATGGACAGGTGGCATGCCTACAAATGATTTGGTGTAGTGTCTAGCTCCAAGAGTTTGTCTCCAAAGGTGAGAGGGTCCATGATAATCCCAATGGTCAGCTATTGCCTACCTTTACCTGGGCAGAGTCTAGCAAATAAAGTGCTGAGCCATTTTAAGTCTGTTTGTTCCACTGGGTGGATTGGAGTTAAGTTGATAGCCAATAAGCATGCTGCAAACTTTGCACCTGGCAAACAATGTAAAACCTAAACTTCAATATTATTAGGAAGTTGGAAATTCAGGACAATCACTCATATCCAATCCAGAGACAGTTCAGACACCTTTTATGAAATGTTGAAACTCTAGTATCTCCTGCCTGTCTGCCAATTGCAAGTGAGCTGTCTAATGTCATAGCCAATCACCTTGGAGCTACCTTGGTGCCACAGCCAATCAGAACCAATCAGTACTCTGCTGTTATCCCAGTGGTGGCAGACCTCCAGCATAAAAAAAAAGGTGTCTGAAGTGTGTCCAGGGATAACTGACAGTCTCTCTTCCCTCACACCTGATTCCCCTGTCTCTAACCATTACATATGTAGTTCAGTAATATGATGCATTATAAATGTTTTTTTCTATTAATGTGTTGGATCTGGGTGCCATGCGGCCTGCATGTGGCCCAAAATCCAGGCATTAGGCGTACTTGAGTAGCAACTCTCCTGGGTGTGTGACATGTATGAACAACCCACACAATTACTCCTTACCTTCCCTTTGCATTGTTATGATCTCTTTCTGCACTAACATTTTATGTTTCTTTTACCATTTTCCCTAGGTCTATATCTGTCATTTGATATGCTGTATTAAGATGGTAAAAGATAGTTTTGTAAAGACTCCATATCATCTCCCTAGGTAGTCTACAACTCAATGCAACAGCAATAACAGTGAGCAATATTTTGTTATTTGTGGAATTTTTAAAT